TCATGTGGGGTGTCAACACACCCCAACTTGTGTGCACATTAGGCTGACTTCCCAGGGAGGTGGGAGATGGGCTGGGGGTGCAGGATCGGGAGCTGTTGCTGTCGCAGGTGGTGGCTGCAGTGAATGCAGAGATCTGGAGGTGGGGAGGGACCTGGTTTGTTCCAGGAGTCTCTGAAGGCCAGGGCAGCCTCACCATGGCCAGTGTGGCCAGACACAGCTGCGAGACAGGCAGGGGCCAGTGGTGGTGGGGGCAAGTAAGGAATCTGGGTGTTACCCCGGGGGTACCGGGGAGCGGATGGGAGCGGGACAGGCGCCTTCACACCGAGTCAGGGTGTGGGGGTTTTAGCTGCACGGGGAGCCAGGATGCCGCACGGAGTCCAGGGCCCTTCCCCAACCCTGCAAACTCTCCTGGAAGAGCGCTAAGCCTCACCTCACAGATTTCTCATTGATAAATCTGACCACTTATATTCTGCGTGGTTCCATTTTCCTGTGGTTCCAGCCCCAGCTGCCGCCCCTGCCTTTCCTCCACCCTCTCTTGTCCGAGTGCCCCTCTTCCCTTGCGGCTTGGTAGAGAGCGTACGACCGACCGCAGCCTCAGGCGGCCCCAGGGCCTTGGGCAGTGTAAGACCTGCACACCCCAAGCCCCATAAGCTCTGTGCATCCGGCTCTGGGCTGGCACCGCAGCTCAGTGACACAGGCTCTCCCTGCAGACTGGGGCACCTGCAGTTTGGGAACCATTGGCCCAGAGTTCCCGGAACTTCATGACCCTGTGGAAAGAAGCTCGGGCTGAGACCTGGCAAAGCTGGGGTCCTGAGGGCCTGGACCCTTGTCCCCTTTCCTCAGACCCGGGGATGGGGAAATGAACAAGAACATGTGTGTTTTAAAAATCTGGCTTCTTTCTCTCAGCATATATATATATATATTAACTTTGTCTCTGTGAATGTCACATCATCAGATATTTTAGCATCAGATATATAAAGCAATGGCATTAAAAAAAACTTTTCTTTCTGGGGTAGGAGAATATAATCTCCTTCCATATACTATACTCCCCTCTCCATGAAAAGCAATTAGTTATTTCTAATAATTAGAGCTTTCAGTCTTTCTTTTTTCTTTTTTTGGTTTTTTGAGACAGGGTCTCACTATGTAGTTGAGAATGACCTGGAACTCACTGTGTAGCCCAGGCTGGTCTCGAACTCACAGAGATCCTCCTGCCTCAGCCTCCCGAGTGCTGGGATTACAGACATGCGCCACCATGCCTGGCTCAGTCTTTTTTTTTTTTTTTTTTAAAAACCCTTTTACAGCTACCATTTGCTGACAATAAATTACTTTAGCTGTTTGCAGTAGATTTTTTTGCATGGACTTTGTATTTTTCCTTTTGAGAAAGAAGTCTTGGCTTAGTCAAGAGTCACTGTGAGTAAACTAGGCCCCTTTCTTTAGTGCTCTCCATGCTGTTTGTTTCATTGTCCTCAGGAGCTCTTTTCACCTTGATAGTCTGTATTTCCCACTCCTGGTGAAAGTCTCTTCGTTCTCCATCTCGAATTGGAAATTCTAAATTGTGATAATGTAGTTGAGATGCAACTCCTCAGCATTTCTAGTTGTAACCGACCTCCGCTTGTGGTTGCCCAGGGTTATTTTGCATAATTAGACTCCTTAATATATTTCAGCGTTGAGACAGACGCTGGCGGGGAGTTCTGGGAGGAAAGAAAATAAGACAGAGAAAAGCATCCACATACAGCATAGAGCCCTTGAACCTCCTTTCTACCTATCTGGAGGAAAAACCATGTAAAAACACACGACCAACCTAAAAGAGGTTATTATGGTCTCAGTGTTTCTAAAGTACCATTTTTTCCTCCCGTCTTTCCCCCACTTTCCAGTATACTCAAGAAAATTGAAAGAAATGTCGTGGATCAGTTTAAAATATTTTATTTCCTAAAAGCCCTTTTTGCCTATCGTAATGTGTGGATCCTTCTCCTTTGAGGGGAGAGATGGGTTATTATCTGAATATAGGTTGCAAAGGTTTATGTAACAGAGAAATTATGATACAAGGGGTACTTTGCTTTTCAAATCCTTGTTTTTTCTTAATCTAGGTAAGGCATATCCAAAATAAGTATGTAAAGAAAAAAAAAGTTGTCCTCATGGAAAAAAACAAACACACACATAAAAAAACAAACAAAACCTTTTCTCCGTGCGCTGCTGACTGGTGTTCAGGTGCTTTTTGGAGATCGGCCGGGTGGGCCACATCCTCTTTGGCCCCCGTGACGGAAAGCTGGTCCGACTGTAGACGCCATCAGTCAGAAGAGCGGTCCGGTGGATGGGCCCTGCACTCGGGGTGAGGCGCCAGGCCACGCCTTTCAAGCGCATGCGGCTGACCGACTTCATCCTCAAATTCCCACACAGTGCCGGCCGGAAGGATGTCCGACAAGCCTGACAGAAGGCTGACATCAACATCAAGGGGGCCGAGAAGATTGAAGCCAGAGAAAGAGAGGCCAGGATGACAGGCGTCAATCGTTTTAAAGCCATGAAGGCGACGAAAATGAGGAACGGGAAAATCAAGGAAGAAGTTAAGAAGCGCGGCTATCATAAACGCTTCTCCCAAAAAAGGTGCCGCTGCAGTCACTGCAGCTAGAGCTAAAATTCCAGCAAAGAAGGTGACTCCTGCCGACAAGAAGGCCTTGGGCCAGAAGGTGCCTGCCCAGAAAGAGGCCAGTGAAAAGGCCAGGCCTCTGCCCAAAGCCCAGAAGGTGCCTGCTCCAAAAGCATCGGGTAAGAAACCAGGAGGCTGTTAGAAAGGAATAAAGGTTCTTTTTGACGTGTTAAAAAAAATCTATATGTATGTATGTATATATTTGGTACTGGGGATTGAACTCAGGACCTTGTGCTTGCGAGGCAGGTGCGGTGCCACTGAGCTAAATCCCTGGCATCTGGGCATTTGAATGGCTTTCAGTTTTCGGCTCTGTGGGTAGTGCCCCTGTGAACATTCATGTACATGTCTTTATTTGAGTAGCCATTTTCATTTCCTTTGGGCCACTAGGAATAGAATTGCTGGATCAAATGGCAATTCTGCATCTAACTTTGTGTTCTTCTTGCTTTTTGTGTAACTGGGGATTAAACCCAGGGCCTTTGTGCTGAGCTAAATCCTCTGCCCTTTTCTAAAAATTTTGAGACAGGATCTTGCTAAGTTGCCCAGGCTGGGTTCGAACGTGTGATCCTGCCTCGGCCTCCCAGAGTGCTGGCTTATTGGTGTGTGCTACCATGCCTGGTCTTATTTAACTTTTTGAGGAGTCACCAAACTATTTTCCCACCAACAACACACAGCAGTACAATTTTTCCAGGTCCTTGCTAACAACTTGTTATTTTCTACTTCAAAAAAAACAAAACAAAACAAAAAAACAAAATAAAAAAAAAAAAAAAAAAAAAAAAAAAAAAAAAAAAAAAAAAAAAAAAAAAAAAAAAAAAAAAGAAAAAAAAAAAAAGAAAAATTAAGCCCATCCTAGTAGGAGTGAAGGATTAGATCTGCATTTCTCCAATAATGTCGAGCATTTGTTCATGTGCTCGTTGGCCATTTTTACGTCGTTTTTGGAGTGATGCCTATTTAAGACTTTTGCCTCTTGAAATTTTGGCTGTCATTCTGTAGCAACTACGGCACAGCTGGCTGGGGAGGAAATCTTGAACAAATGACTGAACCTGCCCTGCCTCAGTTTCTTCTGCATGGCGGAGATAATGACAGAACCCAGACAAAAGGCGGTTGTGAGGATGAAACAACTCACTGTGGGTGCAGCTTTGGGAAGTCTGCGGGCCAGGCGGTGGGTTTGTGCTGTGTAACCGATAGCCCTTATTGCCCAGGAGTCCAGACTAACTTTAGGAACTGAACAAGAAATTACCAGCGATTAGTAACTGCTGGGAAGTAAATAAAACGGTGATGCAACCGAGTAACTGGAAGGCTATTTTAGGTTGGGTGGACAAGAAAGGCTTTTCGGAGGAGGTGACACTTGAGCCGACACCAAACGACAGGAAGAGTTGTGGTGCGAAGATCCATGCACAGGAAGGGCACGCCGGGCTGGGGACGGCCGGGCACAGGGTGCAGGCAGGACGGAGCCTGGCCAGCTCGGTGAGCTGGCAGGAGGTGGCGGCAGGGACTGGGGTGGCTGGGCTTTCCCGGAGTGGGGCTTCTGGCCCATAGCAACCGTGTGGGAAGCAGCAGCCTTGGAGTCGGGAAGCTCACTAGTGTGCCGGTGTCTGCTCACCAGTTAGGAAACTTGAGACTGTGCCCGGGCTTTCCATTTGGGAAAGGCCTTGGTTTTCTCCTGGTAAGGTGGAGGGTGGTTACAGCCTCTGCCCGGGGCGAAACGCATGGACCAGCTTACTTAGATGCTACTGACCCCGTCAGTCTGGAGCAGAAGAGAGGATGTGCAGTGTGGCCGTGTCTGAAAATCCCTGTGCACAGGGTGGTTGTGGAGAGCAGGACCCAAGCGTCCATGCGGCTCCTCGGCCAGGCCTCAAAGCACACACGAGGTGAACGCACAGCCCGCGTCTTCAGGGGCTCCCGGGACCACTCCCCCGCCCAGGTTTCTTCTTTTTGTGACAGCTGGAATTCCTGCCCCTCCCGCGCTGCACCGCCCCTTCCTCCTTAGGAATCAGGAGGCTCCTGGGAAGGCCTGGGGTCCGCAGCTCCTCAGGAGCAGCGTGGAATGTGGTCTCCTCTCTGTGCATAGCCCAGGGCGGCGGCCAGGAGCCCTCTGACGGGACTGTGGGCTCCCCGCTGGTCCCCCGCTCACCAGTTTGGTGCGCTCACCTGTGAGAGGGAGGGAATAGTAGTCTTCATCACACAGGCTGTGCTGAGGATTGCTTGTAGGTTATTTTACACAGGTGAAACGCTGGAGGAACGCCTGGCAGATAATTCGTTTATTAAAGCCAATAAAAACCATTAGCGATCTTGGTGACCGGGCAAGCCATTGGACGGCTGAAGCCTCGGTTTCCAAATCTGTACTTTGGGACGGTTGTTGGATACTGTGGGTGGGATACCTGTGCGCACAGGGCCTGGCGCTAGGAATCTCCACCAACGCCGACTCCCCCGCTGTCTCGGCCGTGCGGCACGCAGGGACACCGAGTCAGCCTGTTGTACCCAGGGTCGCATGCCCCAACGTTCTTGGCTGGAGAAGAGGGGGAATCGCTTTTCTGGAAGGGAAAGAGGACACGCCGCCCGTGCGGGAGCGGGCGGTGGAGACCCAGCCCCAGCCGCGCCCTCGTCGGTCCGGCCTGAGCTGTGGCTGGAGGAGTTCGGAGAATCGCGGGCGCCTGCAGCGACGGGTGTGAGGACCCGGCCCGCCACTAGGCGTCAGTATGTCCCCGCCGCAGGCGCCTGCCTGCTGCTTACCTGATGGCCCTGGGCGCCCACAGCTGGCGGGGACGGTCTACAGCATCTCCTGTCTGACATTTGAAAAAAAAAAAATTAATTAATTAATGTATCTTTCTCCGTAGCAGAGAAGGGAGCCCAGACAACCAAAATAACAAGCCGACTCTTTGCAGGGAAATGCAGAAGGTGGTTAAACCGACCCGTCCTTCACATTCCGCAGGCTGCAGGAATAAGGATCCAATTGTGGTTTCTGCTCTGGTTATCTTGGTGCCGCCGAGGGTGCCACGGGGGAAAATCTGCTGAATTCTCCCTTTTCTATTTTCTGCCTCGGTGAGGAGGAGGAGGGCGTTAATGCCGGCTGGCAGTTCCATGAAACTGAGATGGGTGGTAATGGGGTGTGTTAACAAGCAAGGGCAGGAAACAAAGTGTCATATTTTCTGGAGAATCAACCGCTCCCCGGAGACAGAGCTGCAGGATCCACTGAGGAGACACTGGGAGGGGGAAAAAGAAATCTTGCATAATTTGCCTCTCTTTCTTTCTCTCGCCTCACTTTCTGGTGGCCTCTTTGGTGAGATTTCCGTTTCAGCGCTTAGCTATACTTTCGTCAGGAGCCAGCTCCGGAGATGGAGAAGACTTCAGGACCCGGAGATCGACCGCACAAGATCGGAGCTACCTGCCTGTCACCTAGAGCCCACAGTCGGGTCTCTGCAAACCCACCCACTGGGCAGACGGATGGGAATGATGCCCTGGGGCCCGTACACGTGGGACCGCCCCCCCCCACCGCCTTCTGCCTCTTTTCTCCCTCCTGCGTGGTGGTACAGTCGCTGGTTCCTTTTTCAGGGACCCAAGGCTCCCACCTAGCTGGTGGCTCCCCTCCCCATCTCTTTTCTCTGAACCGGCATTTCGCCCTCCCTCCGAACAAGGAGCTCTTTGAAAAGCTGGCCGCTGTCCCATTCTTCTTTGGACCCCTAGCACCTGGCGCAGGGCCTGGTCCCTTGTTAGTGGTGTGAACCGTGTGTGCTCTTGTTTGAGCTCCCTGAAAAGATACGAGCTCCCCAAGGCCGGGCTCGGTGCGGCAGCCTCTCACTAGGCCTCGAGTCAGAACGGACCAACATCAGGCTTGGCTTTGCTCTTTCCTGAAATGATGCTCATAGGGCTCAACTCCTCAGGAGGGAGGCTGCCGGAGTTCAAATCCCAGCTCTGCCGCTCACCTCCGGGGCCCACCACTTAATCTTTCTGTGGCTTAGCTTCTTCATTTGCCGACTGGGGACAATAGCAGCGCACCTTACAGAGTGGCCGCAGGGAGGAAACGAGCGGATGTGTTTGCTCTGAAGGGGGCCTGGCACGAGGACCTACTAAGTGTGGTTGGTTCTCACCGGACACAGACACAGACACCGGACGCAGAAGCCTTGCTCTCCGCAGCCACTTCCGTTTATCCCTACGCGGTGCGTCAAACGACGGCCCTCCGCTTTCATTGGAAAAGTAATCACTCCATGAAAAGCAAGCGGCACCCCAAACCGACTGCCTCACAAGGGAAGGCAAACCCTGAGTGTTCCATCTCAGCCCCTCACTCGATGTCACTTGCTGGGGACCCGTCCAGGAGGTGTTTCGAGCCCCGGGGTGGATGAGATGTCTGGGTCGGGAGAGCAGGCCGGCGCTGGTGTGGAGAGTGGGTTTGTTCACGGATGAGGGCAGACCATGGACAGCGGGCCTGGGCTCTCATTACCCTTTTGTCCGAGTAACCAAGCTTAGGTGGCAAACCA